GCGCGCAACCGCAGTGACAGCCGGCGGCCGGGCCCCCCGCGCAGCCGCAGTGAGGGGGTACCCCCGGCGCGCAGCCGCGCTGGCATTCGTCTGGAGCGCCGAAGCCCCGCCTTTCTGCCCTGCGCCAGCGTACTGAGACAAAAGGGCGGGACCTGAGGTCTCGCGCAGGCGCCTGGGAGAGCTCGTAAGGGTCATCGCGCAGCCGCAGGAACACGGGGACTCTTCATCCATTGGTGTTTGTGTATAGACCAAGAGCACTGTGTTCCCGCGCACGCGTGTTGAGGATACACCTCTCCCGCCCCACAACAACACAGCCGGCTCCCGCGCAGGCGTATTGTCACTTGCAGGCCCTAACAAGAATGCTTCTCCTTTCGCCATTTTGGTAATGGGATATAGACTACCATGTCCTCGGAGTCCTCAGACATGAACAGAGAGGAGCAAAGTGTAGTGTTGGCTGGAGCTGGTAGGCTGTCGGTGACAGCAGTACTCCTAGGGATGTTGTACTGGATTGTCTGGTTCCAGCGTCAGGTGTGGCTGGACCAGGCGCCATATTGGTAAAGAGAAAAGAAGACATCGGGACGGAAAACGATGTTTTGGTGTCGGGCTGGATGGCTGCTGATCCCGCTTCCCTCCCGCTCCCGACAGTACATTTTAGCTTGAACATTCCTGTTTTTCGTAGTGGTGGCACCATGGAGAGTTCCACCTGCCCGTTACTACCGTCTCTTGATCACTGTCCCTGAGAACTGCTCTCCAAGAGAAAGCCAAAAGCGAAGTTTGTAATGCTGACAACGCCCAGCTACCTGCCTACAGTGGACTTCAACTCCCAGTTTGCAACGCGCCAAGGGTCCGAAGGGTGAAAGGGAGTGCACTGCACACTGGGAGCGAGAACAGGGGTGGGTCTGGTGGATTGTGGGAGCCGTAGTTCCGTGTGCGTGCGATGCAGCATGCGGTAGGATGGACTCGGGGAAGAGTGATTTGCCTACCAGGAGGGGATACTTTTCAGAGCTGCAGTGCTGTATGCTGGGATTTGTAGTCTAAAGGCTTCACCTCGAATTCTGGGCGGGGCGTCATGATCCCTTCACGGTGCCCGCCCCTCCCCTTGGTATCATTTTCGGAGTCGGCCAGTTATTTCTGCTTGGCTGTGGATGAAGCGGTGGAGAAGGGAATGACATCATTGTGCCTGACGTTAGGAGTGTAGTTGGTATTGTTACCAGGTAGTCGTGTCCTAGCTCACTTTTGATGTTAACGTATACTTAGCATTCTCAGAAGCCTAAAGCTGGAAAGGGCTTAAAAATCATCTGTATTACTCCCTTCATTTCCAGATGCATAGAGAAGAACAGTGATTTGCCTAGTTCACATAGTGAACTTATGGAGGACCCAGGAATGAAACAGATTTCTTGATTCCCAGGCCAGACATTGTCTATCTGCCTGTGAGGGCTTGCTGCTCCTTCTTTTGGGAGAGTAAGGAGGATAAGTTAGATAGGGTGGGGATGTCAGTGTATGGCCTTACGTTTCTGTTTTTATGACTTTTCTAATGATCCTATTGGTGCCTGGGAAGAAAGATAAGGTAGTGGGCCTTATTGATTAAGCAGGGGAATATATCATGTCGATTGGCCCTCTCTGCCCTCTACCAACCTCAGCAAACAAATCTTAGTGGCCACAGGTTAGAGACATGGCTCTCAGAGAAGAGCTGAGCTAAAAGTATGGAAGTGGCTGGACCTCATCTCTTCTAAGGCTGTATTTCATGCTACAGGCCCTCAGAAGTTGATACATCATGGGCCCTCTCCCACTGGCTTCCTTCCTACTGCTCAGGGCCCATCTGTGCTGCTGTGTCAGCTTGAAAGTATTATGGAGCAGATAAGTAAGCCATTGGCACATGCCCAGTGAGCACAGCTTTGTTTTGATCAACATCATCATTGTGGTTGAGAACAGAAATAGGCATTGGTGGGCTAATGAAAGAAGTAATACTTGGCTCTGTTGACAAGTGACAGGGGAAACTAATTACTCTACAGATCTTTCTCTTAGAACTTGGAGGGTGAGGTCAGCCCAGTGGGGCCAGTAGTTGGTGCCACCTTGGAGAGCTCCAGCCCTGGATGTTCTAGGGGGATGAGAGAGAGCAGGTGGGATACAGATGCCTTCGGAAGTGACCTCTTGTGGCTAATATAGGCAACTGCATTCTGCATGGACAAGCCTCTCTATACTTCAATGTGGCTTGTGGTAGAACCAGGAGGTGGGCAGCCATGAGTGGTCAAGACCTCCCTGTTGGAAGACTGTAGAAGTACTGGTTGCTGCTACTATTTCTTCAGAGGTTTTTTTCTTCTGGCTTTTAAGAGCCCATAACTCCCTGTTGCCTGGCTCTTAATCTGGAAAGCAGCCATGCATAGCACACCTCATGGATGTGCATGCTGGGGACCAAGGCTGGGCAAACACTTACATCTCAGGAGGTGCTGGGGCCCTAGGGAGGGGGCAAAGAGGAACCTCTCTGTCCTGGAGCCCATGGATATGGCTTTTGCTACAATAGGAGCCAAGCCCCTATGTGGCATTGCCACTCTGCTTGACAGTCTGGATGTCCTCTGAGGCCAAGACAGACTAGGGCCTCATGTTCAGGGGTTCAGTCTCTGATTCGTATTCCAATTTCCTAAGCCTTGCTAGCTGGGAAAGCAGTGAAAAAGAGAGAGGCATCAGGCTTCCTGGACTTTTCCAGCAATACAGTGGCTTTGAGGAGGGGCTTGGGAGCATGCCAGCTGGTAGTTCTGGACCTAGCAAAGAGAAGGAAATGAAGCATTGGGATGGGTGAGGAGTTGGGTTTGTGGGCTCCCACACCCCTGTGGCACCAGCCACTGGGGGCTCTCATTTCGCATGCCATCTGTTGCACTGACCTTGTTGGGACAGTAGTCTTGGAAGCACTGGCATGTAACTGTTTTTTGATAAAATCTGGAGAAGATCAGCTGTTAGTTCCAGAATGCCTTCTGGTCCTAAAGTCCATATTCCATTCATCTCCCACTTCCCTTCCCTCTAAGAAAGCACCATCCACTAGGCTGCTGCTTGGTTTTTTCAAAAACACCATTTTAATAAGGAAACAGCAGAAATAGAAGATTGTTCTCTGGCTGGAGCCCAGACCCCATATAATACATTACATGTACAAAGTGGCCTGCAGCCAACTCCAGGGCCTCTCCCTGGGACTCTCTAAACCTCTGTTCCATGCCAAATTCCTGGGCCCTTGGACCTCTGCTCCTCTCCAAAATATACCCACCCACTCCCCTTGTCCCAAAACACAGTGGCCGGGAGGGAAGCCTGACAAGTGGTTGGGGTTGCAGGAGGGGCTAGTGGGAAAGAGGATGCTTTTAACAGCCAGACTGACATCAGGGTAAGTTCACCTATCTTCAGGGTGTTGCTCCCGCTCTTCTAGGGGAGCAGTAGGATATCCTGCTTTGGTGTGGAGCACGAGTCGTGTGGCCTAGGGAAGCCCAACCTGAGCTTGGGGTAGAGTCCCTAAACCCCTTAGCATCCCTTGGAATTATTGCCTCCACCAGGAAGGGACAGGAGGCAGAATTGTCCATTCCTGGGGCCTTAGAGAAGGACTAGAGAACTCCCCAAGGGGCTGATACCAGCATGCCAGGACTACCAAGAGGTCACTGTTGAGAGCAGTTTTGGCCACTGGTGATGACCCTGTGAGGAACACGCTGGCACAGTTTCCACCATTGTCAAATTAACCCTGCTGCGGGGTGCTACATGCCAGGGCTGGATAGTGGTCTCATGGAGAGAGGTGCTCCCCTCTGCCTGTGAATTCCAGGCTGGAGGTCCAGGGCATGAAGGAGGGTAAGGAGAATGCTGGTTCTTGATGCATGTGCTCCAGCCATGTTCTGCCTGGAGGCAGATGCCCCTGACTTGGACCCAAGGAAGGGCCCTAAGTGGGCAGTGGTACCAAGAAAATAGGCCCTGGTGGGCATTGCAGGCGGGAAGGGCACAACTTCTTGAGGGACTGGTGGCATCTCTTCCCAGGTGGTATATACAGGAGGTGGAGGGACAGCAGGAAGCTGGGAGCTCTGCTACTGGGCTGTGACACAGGGCTGAGCTGGCTTCCCCAGGCTGCCCCACCTAGATGGAGACTTCATATTCTCTCGTCTCCTGCAAAGGAAAGAGACTGCTGGGAGTTGGAAACTTGTACAAGGTTTGCCAGCCCATAATCCACCTT